AAAAAAAAAAAAAAAAAAAAGAAGGAGGAAGGGAGGGAGGGGAAAGAAATCAAGAGAGAGAAAGACAGACAGACAGAAAGAAAGAATTAAAAACAGAAAATTCAGTTCTTTGGGCACACTAGTTGGCCATATTTCAAATATCCAAAAGCCCTGTGTGACTAGTGGCTAACATTGAACAGTGCAAATTATAGAACATTTCCATAGTTGCAGAAAGTTCTATTGGGCAGTCCTGGAACAAGCAGTGTGTGCTGTCTGAGATGGCATAGAAGAAAGGAAATAATCTGTGAGAGTGCCCTGAAGGGGGAGGAGTATCCTTTTAGAAGGACACTGAAGGCAGGCAGGGATGTCTTATAGCCTGGATGGGGAGGAAACAGTACACATACCCGTTCTAGCCAAATTCCAGCAAACGCCCTTGGCTTAGGATCTAGTTTCTAGTCTGGTCTCTGCCACTGACACCATTAATCACAAAAGCACAGATAAACAAACTGATGTGAGAGAGGAGGGCCTGAGGTCACACTGAAAATTAGTAACCAAGGCTGGACTAGAAACTTGGTGTCCTATTTCCAGAGGCCTAGAATCTCAGCATTCACCCATCTTTTTTTTTTTTTTTTTTTTAGAGTCTCACTCTGTGCCTTGGGTAGAATGCTGTGGTGTCATAGCTCACAGCAATCTCAAACTCTTGGGCTCAAAAGTTCCTCTTGCCTCAGTAGAGCGCCTGCCACAATGTCTGGCTCGTTTTTCTATTTTTAGTAGACACAGGGGTCTCATTTTTGTTCAGGCTGGTCTCAAACTCCTGAGCTCCAGTGATCCACCTGCCTCAGCCTCCCAGAGTGCTAGGATTATAGGTATGAGCCACCATGCCCAGCCCATCTTTCAGTAGTGTGGCCCAGTCCCAGCCTGTATACCCACAAGGATGGAGCTAGCTCAAATGTGTGTCTCTGAAGCCTTCACCAATGGACCTGATTCTAGGCCAAGAAGTATCTTCCCTTCCTTATTGACACTAAAAAAGAAAAATTCAAGAAATTGGAAGAGGGTGCTGAAATGTTGGGACCTATGAGGAAATGCTAGGTCTTAGAGACAGGAAAGCAAAGGCTACCTCTATCCTTAATCCCCTGAGTGCCAGGAACCCTCCTCTTTCCCAACTTTATCTGGTCTCCTATCCCTACTAGCACTTCTTGTCCATTCCAAGTTTAAGTCTTTCTCTTCTGCACATCTGGATGAGGGGTGGAGGGCTGACCCTCCTTTATGAGGCTTCTAGTAGCTTTGTCATGACCAGAATTCATCATTGTTCTCTTCCTCTTCTTGGGCTGGTGGTATGATAAGCAGAAATGGGAAACTAGCTTCTCCAGAGTTAATGGGGAAGGACTGAGTTGCTACTTTAGAAAGCCTAGGCCCCAGTCCCAGGTCCCATTCTGTGATCCAGTGTTCCTAATGGTCTTCTTCAGTTTCCCTTCCAATGAATAGGCTGAGCGCTATCCAAGTCTTCTCCCTGAGCCCAAGATGTGGGTTTTCTGGGAGAGCTTTTGTCCTTGTTCCCCCAGATCTGGGTTAGGCATTTCTGACTCTGGATCTGGCTTTCAGAGGAAGCCTTGTTCTGCTGGTTTCCCTCACCAGGCACTCTGGTCCCTTCTTCTCTCCCTGGGCCTAAGACCAATCTTGACCTTTTTATCCCTTGGCCATTACTACATACCAGACTTATCCATTCTAGCCTGGACCACCATGGTAGCCTGGTAACTCTTTCTGCTTTAGGACATTTCAACCCAATCCACAACAACTGAGGAACCTTTCTAAAATTCAAGTATTTCATTGAAAAACTCTAAGCTATGGTGTTCAAGGCCTCTAAGATCTGGATCTTTCTCACATCTCTGTCTCTGGTTTGGTGAGAGAGATTCACATACGTATATTCAGAAGCATATTATAAAAAGCATTTGAAGAAATACTACCTTTGGGAACAGCTGCTCAACCATCACTTCCAGGAAAGGTCTCCCCAGACTCAGACTTGAATATGCAGGAGCAACTGGGTGGTTTCCTTTCCTGCCATTGTTCAACTCAGTGGGGATTCTGCTGATACCCTTCCCTTTCTAGGACATACCCCAGATCCCAACAGCTTGTTTTTTATCTTAAGGCTAGCCATTTACTTCATCAAGCCCAAGGATTTTCTAGCAGACTGAGGAGAGAGCAGAATGCCAGGCCTTATTTGTCAAGCCCTAAGTTTGGCTCAGGATGGGGGTGTAGGAGGTATGGGGAAAGACAGAGAGGAGGCCGCGTTCCTGGGAGCTTCCAGTATGGATAACAAGAAGAGATTGTGCTCTGTATACTTGCTGTTTTTCCCTCTTGGTCCCCCTTTCCCTTTCCCAGGGAGTCTAGTTGAGTACTTCCTATTACGCAATCCTGCAATCCCAAGCAGGATTGAGGGTGGGAGGGGTTGGGAAGCTGAGGGGGAAATATTCTGGGGGAATGGGGGGTGGGGGCAGAGAGCCGATCTCGCTGGACAACTATGGCACAGCCACAAGGGGGCAGCAGTGGCAGGTCTAGAGCCACGCTGCAGGCATCTGCTAGAAAAGAAAGGACATTTGGGCCTTAAGGCTGGGTGGCTGTAGAGGTCAGCCTCTATTCCCTAAAATGACTACTCACCTGGGGTCCCATATCTGCACAAGAATTTCAATTGAAATTCTACCATTGTAAC